CGTGTTATTATGAATCGCCTATACATGTAAAGAAATTTTTCAATTAATCTTTTGACAGAACTCAAGGATTTGAAAGATCGTCGATATTTTTCCGACTGTGCTTCTGAGGGGTAAGAGCGATACGAGCCAGTTTTACACGGCTGTGCATTACGACCAAGGCCTTGTTCCCGGCTACGAGCAGTCTCTCTCTTTTTAGTCCGTCGAGCGAAACGCGCGAGACACGCAGAAAATGACCACACGCATGAATGAAGACGCGAGACGGTAGAGGCACGGAAAAAAGAGATTAACTCGAGTTCCAGGCCTTCATTATTCTCAACCTCCTATTGCAACAACTGGCTAGATTACTCACTGCAAATTTGTTTTGCACTGCAACACTGAATTGAAATCGCTTTCTAGCAAAGCACCGCTAGCGTTTTTCAACAAAAATTCCACTGGTTACAATTACTACTGATGTATTTTCTCCGTTTTGTTTAACTTCTGTGAATTTTCTTGATGACATTTACCACAACAATCGCCGCGTTCTCCACCACAGTCGTCCTTGCTCTCAACGTTTGCTCCTTTTTCCTCAGAAGTCAGTTTTTCAGTTTGTAAATGTTTCCTTCTCCTACTAACAGTAGCTTGTCTGTTGACTTCGTTATTCACCGTCCACGATCCAAGACTTGCATTCGCGTAAAAGTCCATTGGGTAATCATTTTGCCATTCAATCTGTTGCAATACAACTGACGCCTGTGAAATCAAAGTGAAAATTCGACACTTTAGAAGAAGACTGGGCCGAGTTAACTTGTGCAAAGACTTCTGGGACTGTTAATAGGGAAAACTGACCGGTGCCTCACCGGTAACGATGCCAGAAACAATTGCGGGATACATTTCGGCTCCAGTCCTCTTCTCGTTTGTAAAGTGGCAAATAAGAAGTTTTATCAACTCCATGGACTGATTCATACAATTTACCACCATAAACAGATTGAAAAGCTCACGTTTCGGGCGTTGGCTCTTCGTCAGAGCGAACCTTCTCAGTGTTCTTGTCCAGTTTTCCTTTCATCTACATACAAATGAATTATTCGGCGGCGATCGAAGTGAAAAATGTGGCAAAACCCGCTGATACGACCACGAAACGTTTCAGCGAATGACAGCGCTGAGAGGCAGCTTCATTGCAGGCTGGCCGGGTTATGTCCTTTAATGCGGCGCGAGTAAGGGGGGAGAGGGTAAGGAGGAGAGAAAGGAAACCTCCCCCTCTTTTATTTTTTGGCTCTCGTTTCATTTCTCGCTCGGCCAAAACCGAAAATCCCGTTCCTTGCTATTTCTTTGCTCCGAAACCAAACGGAATTGCTTGCTACGCAGGCTAACTCGAACATACGTTGACATCATAATTACCACGTGACCATCCATACTCGTTCCCAGGGTCTCTCCTGCTCTTCACTGCCGAGCAAGGACAAGTAGACAAGTAGGAGTGACAGCGAGGGAACGGGAACGGGACCGGTGATCTCCCTTAACAATGCGATATATGGCAAGTATTTGACAGCAGGAAGTCCTTCATAACTTAATTTTTTGGGGGATAAAAGAGCAGGTTACGTACCTCGTAGGGAGAAAGAAGAGGTTTAGGAAACGCATATCCCCAATCAATCGATAATCTTGGACAGGCAACTTGGACCCAGCTGAAAAATGACACGTGTTTGTGAGAATAAAACACAACCACAGAACTTTGCATGCAATACAGTGTATCCTTCGTCTGCTATTGTTTAGTACATTTTATTGCATGTCACGTATCCTGAAAAATTTTAACGCTGATTCCGTTTCTAGACTTGTCCATAGGCTCTCTATTTCCTCTGTGGAAACTTGAGAAAAGTAGAGCAAAACAAGCGCTACGGGAGAGGGGAAGAGTATGGGCGGGCTCTTGCCCCATCCCCTCGCCCTCTGCTCTCTTCATACAGGTTTGACTGTGGAGTTTAAGACAAGGAGTCTTTCACCTGTATGTGGGGTATTATCCACAATAAATACAATAAATGTGTACCCAGTATATGTTATATTATCCTTGTTTGTTTTTGCTAGGGGACAAATACCCTACAGTACCATTCAAAAGTAAGTGGACAATCCATTGCGAGTCTCAATTCTCGACTCAATTTGCGATTCCTGCCCGAATCGAGAATCGAGAATCAAGAACAAGCTATCAAGAATGGAGTCGAAGATCGAGTCTCACAGGACAGAAAACAAAAGATTCACCCATCACTGATTTCCCGATAATTTTACAAAGACCCACAGCTGTAACACAACACGGCATGGTTATATTCACGATTCGCAAAAGCGACAGTATGCTAGAAAGAAGACCAATTTGAGTTATAAAGCAAAATGTTTCTTCAAGGACATCTGTATCAAGCTTCATTTCCTCAAGTAAAATTTCAAATGCCTGTTCCATATGCAAACACACAGTGCATACTCGTGTACAAGCAAAAGCTTGTTTATTTTGTAATGTCAAACAATTCTAGGCTTATCCGGCTGCTTGGTTTGATAAACATCAGCTGTAAACATACACGTCCGTCGGTAACATGACTAATCTCTGAATCTGCATTCATGCTCTGTATCCTCCGTGAAAACTTTCGAGAAACAATGGTTCTAATTCTACAAGGAAATTTGCACATTCATTTGAGGTCTTTGAGATAATCTCTCTTAAAACTGGGCTTGTTTTTTCTACGATGGAACACGATACGCCGAACTTTTTTGTTGCCTAGCACGTGACTGCAACTACCGTGATGAAAAATTGCGCAATGTTAATTTCAAAAGCGCACTGTATTGCACAAGTCAAAATATTGTTTTCAAAGTAGCCTGCGTGGCTGGCGGTATTGTGTGGGTGCGAGTTTAAAGTTTTGGCGGCGGAGCCGTGTTCCAATAAAAGGGAGTAGGGACGAGGCGGTTGAGGGACGAGGCGGTATTTCTCGCGGCTTCGCCGCTCGTGACGGCTCCGCCGTCAAATCTCACTCGACTACGTCTATTCTCACCCGACTACTACACAATACCGCCAGCTACGCAGGCTATTTTCAGAGCTCTTGGACGTTTTGGAAGTTTTCTGAACCTTTACATGTATATTCAAATCGAAACTTTTATGTGCACAATCACTTCTCATAAAATTAAGCAAAGGGCAAAATATCAAACAGAGATGCTATCGCGTATTGCAAAAACAGCAATTCTCGTCAAGAGTTCAAATTACAAGTTAAGTTTCCAGCGAAAAACAAACCCTCAAACTGTAGACCCTGATAATCAGACATTCAACTGTGATAATGCCGATGGACATTCACAAACAGGCAATCGAAAAAATATCGGCAAGTAAAATTCAAAAGCAACGAGAAGCCCCTTGAGACTTTGTTTATACACCGTCGCGTATTGTCATTTATTTACACAAGCTGCCTTTTAAATGTATTTTGGATTTTACAGATAAAAAGTCATGAATTGCTTTTCAAGTTCAACTATTACTGATAATTTCTGCTATTTAAATAATGCAAAATGCCATTGGAACATTTTTTAAGATTTCTACAGGAGTACCCAACGAATCCGCTCCTCAAAATATCCGCTCCTCAGGCTAAGAATTTGCTGGCTAGTAACTAAATAATGGACGAGAAACTCTAGCTGGGAATTTTGCCGAAACGCTTATCTTGCTGTGGTTAATGTCCCTTTGAATACCGATGCTGGCACGGCCAAAAAAAAAACCCTTCCCCTCTGGCTTCCTGTGGCTTGTGAAAGTGTGCTCTGGCTAATTTATTTGCCGGTTATTTTTTGGCTGGAGTAGTAAAATGACACCTAGTATTAAGGAAATTTCAAAGATAGCGCTGGCTGTGAGTGACAACTACGGTGCACCGCAGGCTAGTGCAAAGTCGAGCGCGTGTGTCACTAAATTGATAGAAAATTGAAAGCGACAAAAGGCGTGTACAAAATGTTAACTGAATACGTCAGTCATTAAAACGCTGTCAGCAAACAATACAATTTCTTTTTTGAAAAAACATCCCTGTCTTTTGTTATGGTGTCAGTGTGGGATTTTGACAGAGAACTCATAATATTTATTGCGCAAGGAATGCCATCTGAGGAGTGGCCGTCATAGTCGCAGTGGTTGTTTTGTGTCTCCATTTTGTGTGATTCAACTGAATTTTTACAGTTTTTGACAATTTCTGCTACATCCAAACTCTTCTGATTTCTAGGTAAGCAATCTTTTCTATATGTCCTTGCTTTCATCTTAATGCCTTTTGCAAGTTTTGGTAAGTTGCCTTATGGTCTCAACGGTCTTTTTTGCATTTTGTGATCAATTTTTAGTGCATCCTTCCATAGCGGGCAGGGTCACTGTTCCGGTAGCCTGGTTAAGAGATCATCGTAAAAGTAAGTCCAGCAGGTAAGAATGCCTTTTGATTTTATCACGATCATGTTGATCTTGACAATGATACGGTATGCACCTCCATTAACCATGACTGTTCAGAGACAGCATTTTTGTTTGACTGTAGCACATAATGCCTTTTCCTTCAAGTCCTTTTGTTTCGACAAAATGTCAGCTGCAAATAGCTAGAATGCTAGACGGAGTAATATGTGTAGTTACTTACTGGCGAAAATATAGCCTACGCGTTTGTGTCTTGATTTTCAGTAATATGGATTTCTCTAAGAAAATGGAAGCGAACCGTTCTTGCAGCTAAAACCACCCCAAATAGATTTGGTTAGTCTTGTTACTTATCTACTATAGACGATAATTTAGAGTGGAAAGTAACAAAAATATACATTTGCCTAATCAGAGCGATTTTGCTACTAAAGTGTTTTGCTGGTATCGATCATTCTGGACAACATTTCATAAGCCGCATGCCTTCCGATTGACCTCAGATGTTTTTATCTGTTGGTTGACCAGATACATCTAGGCACGCTTCGGGATTCAACACCAATAAGTCGTTTTATGGATGTAGAACTGCCAAAGTATCAAAGCCTTTTTGAACTTGTTTTCTCTCGCTTGCCTTTTCTTTTACAAGTAGCCTGTTCACATGCTAATCGTCAATCTCTGGCACAACACCCTTCAAAATTTGTTATTACACGAAGACCAAGTGTTGCAGGGATGTTTGTTCTTATTTGTATGCTATAGTTATATAATATTTGTATGCTATTCTTAGTTAGCGAAATGAAGTCATTTAGTGCAGATTCTAACTGAGACATTTAAAAGAGCCATAACTGAAAGAACCATAAATTTTTAAAGTAATAACTTTATGCATCACTATTGTAATAGCAGATTTTCCGGTCCTCACGAGGCAAAACAAATACATGTTGTATTTCCAGTATTTCCCACCAGACAGGAATTGGTGAGAAGTTCCTTTTTTTAGCCAACGGGAGCAAACGAGTACATTAGGCCAATGTCTTAGTCTTCTGTAATACTATGTTCTAGATAGACAGAGTTAGTTGTCGGTGCGAATACAGTATTGATCAAAACCCACAAATGGCAACGGAAAGGAACGGCAGCCGGCAGCCGGATGGTTTGTTACGTTATAACAAAATTTGTGTCGGAAACGAAATTATTAAAAGGCACCACTGTCAAAATATGGCCCTAGTCAAAACTGGATAAAATAGCTGACTATTATAGGCTGTGTTTTCACTGGTGTTATTTTCTAGCTGAACATTCTTTCTAAGCGTGACATTTCTTTTCACTGTGAAATTGAAGCAGGAATTTGTAGGTCACTTCTCCGCAAGATAGCCGTTGCAGTTTTCAAAACTGGTCGGGGACGAACCATGTTGAATGATTCCTCTTGTATTCGTTCTCGCTTTATTTATATGCAGAAGACGAAGTTGCTGTCACGGAATGTACCTTAGTAGGTCTGTTCAGAAAAGGAGGAGGCAATCATGTTGCCGACGGCCAAACACAATTTATTGCCGTGTTTTAAAAGCGTGAGATCACACTGGCTTATCCGATCGGTTCCTGGTCGAGGAACTGGAAAATGTAACAACAAATTAGGAACTGTATTTTGAAATAAATGAAGAGCCGGATCGTTTAACAGCCAAGTAGTTCACGCGGCACTTTGATTGCCAGATTTTGGCAGCTAACTGTCACTATGACTACTATGTGCAGCTCGATTGGGTGCGCTATTCAGCAGGACCAACAACAACAACAATTTATTAAGGTATTTCCATATCTATACATGGCATTACCTATCTAATACTTATGAATAAAGTACAAATATATCATTTATAAATATATGGCAAAATAAAAAGATTATATTCTTTTCTGAAATAACATATCATGTCTGTAACGCATACATTCAAAAACAAAAGCAGCAATTGATCTACAAACAGAGGGATCTATACTATTAAAGAGAAATAAAAGTTTTGAAGTCACATCTAAGTCCTTGAAAAGTGTATATCTATCAGATATTTCACTGAAGAATTTTAAACGTAAATTGTCATAAAGTTTGCAGAAGAATAGAAAATGAAGTTCATTTTCAACTTCATTCGTCTGACATAGATAACATATTCTTAAATTTTCGGGAGTTTTAGGTACTGTGTGTCTGCCTGTTTCAATATGTAATCGATGATTTCCTAGTCGAAATTTATTGAGTGAGGTTTTGTGAAGTGGATTTTTAATCATATTTAAGAATTCTGCTTTTTTATTATCGTTCTTAAAGGTAGTATAAAAATTCAATTTTCTATTTGTTTTAAGGAGGGTAAGTTGATGCTCAGTTAGAGCATTATTGATGTTTTGCTTGATGTAAGAGGTGAAGACTTTTTCGTTGTTTTCATTCAATGTTATGGCGGTTGCGTTGTACTTGCTACATATAGTTTTTATTTTCTGCATCAAACCTGGCTGGTTGTTATCGGCCATTTCCTGGGAGAGTTGTAGACATTGTTTTGCTATGTTTTTATCTGGCATATTTTGTAAATGAATCCAAAATTTAATAATTATATAATTTAATAATTAACCAAATTATCATCTCACGAGGTAGTACAAGTGAATTTCCGGTTAAAGAGGCGACAATTTTTTTTCTGGTGAAAACAGCTTGAATTTTTCACTCGCTAAACATAAGACAATGTGTCTTCACTGTATTCCCCAACTTGCGGCTTTTTTGTGGTCAAAGTTGCCCACTGAAAAATCACATAAACACACCAAATAATCATTTTAGCAATTAGCTTACAATACTTGATCTTATTGGAGACAAGCTTTGGTTTGGACTGACTGAATTTGCCCGCTCACATTGTGTGGATCAGTCTATAGCTTTTCCACTTTTGGAATTGTGTGTGAAGTCACAGCATGGTGGTGGTTAGAAATACACTCGAGAGGAATCGAATTGACATGCAAATATGCTGTGTTTCGCCTGAAATCGGGTATAGATTTTGTCCATTTTGGTATGGTTTTCCGGGGGAACTACGGGAGCGTATGGACGTATTTATCCTTTCAATTCCAAATTAACAAGAAAGAAATAAAAATACCGTATTCTTAACGGATTTTGATTTATGGTGACATAATGTCAGCCCAAAAGGCCAGGTCTGAGAAGCAATCTTCCGAGGTAAAAAAAGGCTGAACAACACAGGCTGCAAAACAGGCTGAACAACACATAATGTCTTGTGTGCTGCCGAATATCAAGCGTGTTTTTTTCCCGGCGTTGACCACCGAATACTAGCTAAAACGGGCAAACAAACTGGGAAATCCTGGTTATTGCTAGTATTGACATGTTATTCCTGCAGTTTGTTCGATTCTTGACTTTCACGTGGGTAAATTTTGCTGTGGAGGATTCTTGAATTTTACATTTCTTAATATTTTTGCCAGTTGTCTCACAGTGAGGGGTCATGAAGCTTTGTTTCACGCGCATATTGATTTCCTGTGAAAATACCTTGAACAAAACCTCAGAAAATGAATATGCGTGCTGTGACCTCTCACTGCGAAACAAGCAGCATTTTAAAAATCACATTTGCTCAGTCAAACAGTACCATCCAGAGCATAATCTCCCTACCCGCAAAAAAACGTTTGGAACAAGCAGCATTTTAGTGCGAGGTCGACCTAGTGTGGGCCTACTAAAACCCAATCTTTTTTTTTGATAAAATTAGTGATGTTTGCGGAGTCATTTGCGCGGATCAAAACAAATCCCTGAAAACAAAACCCGGCGATTTCCGGTGGCGCTGATCAACTTCTGGCGGAAAATGTTATCTTACACCATGTACACTGACTTTCATGGCCATTACCTTCGTCGTTTATTACACATTTTTTACATATAATCGCAAAAAACATTAAATTTTACTCCAATCAACATTTTCGCCGGCAAACAAATCTGTTAATTACACCTAAGCACGAGCGAAATTAAATTGTCCAGAGATCGGAAAGGTCAAGGTAGCAAAGACAGTTGGATAACACTATCAAGTGGAAACCTTGACCATCGACCCTTGACCATTGTAAAGAAACAAAGGATTTTGCCGCCAGACAAAACGTTTTTAGGCCTTAAATATTCTCGAAGGAACCCTGGAGGTTTCGTAGGTCAAGAAAATCGTTCACATTAGAAATGGCCTTTCCTGCTGACAGATTTTTTTCGCTGTAAACCAAACAAAATTTTGTGTAGTGCGCACAGAGCCTGTGACTCCAGTTTTCATTTAAAATATTATTTTTAAAATTTTATGCCCTAAAAAAGGTGTTACAAGACACTTACATTTAAAGCACAGCTTGTTAATAATGAGAGATTAATCTGTTATCATAGTATTCTTATCTTGCAGTACTGAATCGTTGCTCGTTTGTTGTTTGAAGAGCTTCATCGAACACGGTTATCTTTACATTGCAGAAATAAGAGGTTTTGGTATAAATGTCTTCAGGTTTTTTTTTGGACATTTACAGTATCGTTTGTTTGGTAATGACAGTTTCCTTAATTTTACAATGGTTTGTGAAACACCATCTTTAAAAACTTTACAGGGGTCTCAACTTTGGGGTGAAAAAAGGACTTTTGCTGAAATTGTCTTTACAGGTTTCGCAAAGCTTTTGCGGTGATTACCAGTAATGGCTTCTGCTGCGAACAGTTGTCTTTTACCTTGTGAAGCTTTCGCAGCGATTGCTCCTCCCTTGTGTATGATTTAAGTGTGGGGTTGGACTTAAGAAAGTAAATCCAAGTTTGCAAGTAATAATATAACGTAGTAATTTACCGTTGTATTGTTAGATATGGGAAGCCACGACAAAGACTACGTGGATCCCAAGCTGAAAATGAAGAGGGGTGGTTATGCAGAAAAGGAAAGTGAAGAGGCAGGTACAAAAGTCGGACCGGATCAACTCGGACCGCCAGTCCGGGTCGGATCAACGCGGATCGACTCGGACCAACTCGGATCGAAGAAAAAAAATAAAAATGAAATAAAATTGGACTCGGATCAACTCGGATCTTTAAAAAAAACCAAATCAGATTATAAAAAGAAAAATAAAATTAGTCGGTATCACTTAACTTTCACCCGTCATTTTGTTTTTTTCTCACGAACTCGTGGTTGCGTAAATTAATTTAACTTTTATTTTTATTAATTTTAATGATACACTAGTGAGCAGCACACATACACTTCCAGTGAACATTTTCAACTTGGAAGGAGGAGAAATCATACTCGCCCGGGACAACGAAAATTTTCGTACCGTAGGCGAGAATTGAACTCACGACCCTCCGAATACTTAACAGTTAATGAATGAGGCTGAGTATCTTATGAAGAATTATGGAGATCGAGGTGGGTGTTATCCGAGAGATCTCCATAATTCTTCATATGATACGAAAACCGAATTCAATAACTGTTTTATTATTCATTCTAAATAATTCCTAGTTTAAAAACATAGCTAAAGCATGCTTGCCTCCATCGATCCATCGATGTTCAGTTCATCTTCGATAGTGTACGTTTAGGTTTGTCCAGCTACGCAAATATTCTCCAAATAGCAAATGTCGCCCTTTGAGTTGTCTTCTTGCTGTTCTTGCCACGTTTTTAGCCATTTTTTCGCCTAGTTCTTACTCTTGAAACGAGTGAAATGTCCGCCATTTTTTCAAGTTCACAACCAAAACAACTCAACCTTGTCCCCAGGTCTTCTCGGTTAACGGTGCCTTAACCTGCGAAAACGCTGCATTTTTGAAGTCATTTCCTCGTTAAAGTCAAAATTCTTCCAAATTTGGTCATCAGTAACTGGTTATAGTGAATTAAACGTGTGCTTTTAGCCAATCAGAATCGGGGAAATATTTTGAATGAATAATACATGTTTATCGGACGTTCCAACCACTGAACCGGAGGGTCGCGAGTTCGATTCTTGCCCAGGGCATGGAAATTTCCTTTGTCCCGGGCGAGCATGGTTTCTCCTCCTTCCAAGTTGAAAATGTTCACTGGAAATGTATGTGTGCTGCTCACTAGTGTATCATTAAAATTAAGTTCAGAAGTCCTACAGAAAAAAAAACAAACAGGAACAAACAAACCAACACTCTTCGGTAACTATCTAAATGCGATCAACAGACCAGGCTTTTGATGCTTTTTTTCATAAATAATTCGGTAAACTTATTAATCAAAAATTATGTGCATAACTTATGATCACGCTCACCTCAACTTCTTTAGCTGCAATAAAACTGAAACTATCATTTTCTTGGAATGAAGCAAATTCATTGAGAAAGATGGTCGAGATTTTACCTTCCTCGAGGTCATCCATATCTGTGTAGTAGAGCGTGTCGTGTAACGCAACCACAACCACGAGTTTATATCATGATCCAAGAGGAACTGGCACTAGTAAAACAAAATGGCGCCTGAAAGCCACGGAGAAAAACACGGTGGGGCCAAATCAACACCGCGGCAAAACGTCTACGCATGCGTTAGGTTGAGCATTTCCGGTCTCTTTTTCAGTCACACTTTCCAGTCAGGTCAAAGAATCAAAGTCAAAGCGCGCGCTCGGCTTCATTCTGTGTGTAGCTTGTGGTTCAGTTGCTCGTGTTTTTGACTATTTTGTAGTTATTGAAATTGTTTTTATGGATAACCAGGCACAGATCACTGAAACAATTAGTCGTTTAGATTCAGAAAAGGTAAGATCATAATAATTCAGTGTGTAATTTTGGCTAGAGCGTCAGGTAAACTGATTTTCATTCACGAAAACAAAGTTTTTGACTGTTATTTTTCTCCTAACCTGGCTGAAACTAAGACATAAAAAGCTATCATTGCAAGCTTGTGTATTGTAGTTCTAATTTTCAGTTCTTCAGTTTCTCAGTCTTCATGCCTTAAAGCCGATTCGAGATTTATTTGGAAAACGACAACACACAATCGCTTTGTACTTTTATTTACCAGTGAGTTTTACCGTGTTTTGAAACGAAACTCTTCTGAGTTGATTGCCATGAAACATAAGCTTAATTATACAGTTGAGGTTTGCAGCAAGTTGACAACTCTATTTATTTTTTTCTTTCTCAGAATCTGATAGAGAAAGCTGGTTTGATCGCTTTTAGAAGTAGAAATTTTCATGCCTTGTATTTAGCAGCTGAAAGCAGTTTCGTGTTTGTATGAGACGCAGACGAGCCGCACAGTCTGAAATTATTAAGTCTTCACTGACCAAAGAACAGCCATGTAAAAGAATTAAATAGGCATTTTCTTGAATGAAAGTCATCTATAGGCATGTTTAGTTTCCCAGCACTGAAAGCTCCGGGTGTTCGTGACTGCAGTCATCAAAGTCGAGGTTTTTATTCAATCCCACACATCTTTTGTTTTGAGTTGTTGTTTTCTCCGATAATAAAAAAAATTGTTCAACCGACTAAAATTTGATTTCCTGGTTCTAGTGTTAATGATAATGATGACGGTTTTTTTTGGTTTCTTTCATAAGTATTGACATTCTTTTCTTAGTTATCGTCTTCTCCAAAATTAACTTATGCCAAACCAGTAGCATGCAAGAAAGCCAGTAAAAACAACTTCGTCTTGTCGAGCGCTCGCGACCTGCAAACTTCAAACATCATTTTCACCGTTGGTGCAAACAGATAACCATGTGGTGCAAAAGTTTGACACTAGAAAAATATATAAGCTTTCGAATGAATTGATTTTTTTGGCCCCCTTTTTTGTCTGTTTCGCCCTTTTTGCTTTTAAACTTGGCGCGACGGCAAAGTTATGCTTACGCTATTGGTTTATATACTAGACCGGAAATAAAAAGCTGACCGGATATTAAATTTTGTGCTCATGCGCATTGCGTTTTGCCGCGGTGTTGGCCAAATCACCCCATCGATGTTGCATTAGAGGCGCGCAATGAATAACGGGTAAAATCCAATATGGCGGCCAATTTACAATTTGCAGAAAGCCTTCGACAACCAATTCAACGTTGCAAACTTGATCTATTGGGCAGGGTTGATACTGGCGATGGTATACAACGGATCAGTAAATTTTTCGGAGAGCTAGAAGCTGCTGTATCCGTGTTGGATTCCAAATACAGTCATCGTGGAGGGAGATTTTCGACCGTGCAAAGATTAGTACCAGCAAGAGGGATGGCTGCAAGGTCCCTACAAAAGATTCACGCCAAAATAATTCGCCGCCTGAGTACAAGGCCAAGACTTGCCAATCCATGACGTGGAGATTTTCAAATGGACATGCCGCAAGAGGTGTTTGAATGAATTTCTAAAGACCTTATGCAACGCACAAGCTTCGGTCAACGATTCAGGGAAACAAATACACAAGTTGTATACGAGATAACAGATATGCGAAAAGCGAAATATTTATTCGCGAGGATGGATTTAGATGGTACAGAAGTCGATCCTGATGTGATTTTAAAAAGGCGTATGGCACCTGTGCAAAATAGCCTTGAGAGGTGTGAGGTGTTGGTGTCGAATGAAAAGCCAATGGAGCTCAAATTTAATAAGCCAAAGGAGTTGTTTGAACTGGAATTTCATTACGGATACTGGAATGCAAGTGGCGTGCCGCAGCACTGAACAAACTTGACTTGACAATTTATTACATATAATACAATAATTAATTTCTTATTACTCAATTATATATTTCTGTTGATATTAAATTGGATTGATGTTAGGCCTGGGTCAAACTTAAGACTTCACATGAACATTTAAGTTAGGTTTGAGCGATTTTATTTGGATTGGCTATCCATTGTGAAGAACGGCTAGAGTTCAGTTTGGCTGGATCACCTTTGAATTAAGTTTGGAGTTTGATTTGGCAAGAAAACATGATTATGTTGGGTCCACCTAAGTACGTTGTTTGACCCGGGCCTAAAAAAGAAATAATCTAAGTTACTTTGGGGTTCAAGTTTTGTTTATATGTATGTCTATAGATTTATGCTTGAGGTACTACTAACAAGTGTCTTCAAGTCAACTGATGTGTTAGTGGAAAAATTTGTTTAGACACTGCACCAAACTTGAATAAAGCTTTGAACTTAAACTTAATTCTCATAGAATTGACTGAGTTCAGGAGTGATCTTTCCACTAGCAACAGTTTGCTTGATGGCCTTCATCACATCACTTGTGCAAATCTCACAGCCTTGATTACCAGTGGTTTTCTTCGAGAGTCCACAATAGCAAAACCTGTCATCACAATCACGAACTCTCTTAGGAATATAAGAATCACTTATGTTCTTCTTCTCACAGCGATAGGCAATGCTGTAGGGATCTTTCTCTCTCAGCCATACCATGGAGACAAACTCATGTCTGAACACAGTCCACCACCGTAAGCTCTTTCTGGCATTGCATGTGTTTTCCACATACATGGCCAATTTCACGTGCTTTGCCTCTCTACCCTGCATTGAATTCAGGCCCAATCCATAGCCAAGCTTCTGATGCAATTTGCTAGTGAGGTAGGGGATGGCTACTCCTACTGTCCACACGGTAGGAGTGACGTTGGTAAGCAACAAACTGTTTGCATTGAAAAATTGTTGGCACAAAACCTTTAAATTTTCAACTTGCTCTATGCTTACCTAAACTCTTGAGTAAATGGAAACTGCATTTCTCAATTTGACACCAATGAATGACAATGTGTGCAGTTTCAGAACATGTCCCTTTGAAAGAGTGGGGATCTCCAGAAGTTCCTGAATCAAAGTGGCAAATTGCCAACAGAAGTACTTTGATTCAAGTCCTGTGAATCTATATGAGAATGAAATTCCCTTCTTCCGCCTCTCACTGAACCACCGCAGAAAGGCCTTGTACAGTCTCCCACACTTGAGGGTGTCTTTCAGGCACTTCAGAAATGTAAGCAGGGGGGGACTGTCTGGAAGATCAGAAACTGCTGTTGCTGCCTTGAGGTGATTCTGGTGTGTGTAATGCATTACAATGGCCAGTGCAGTTAAAAACCAGCTCTGCCAAGCATTGTTTGTGTTGTGTAGAGGCTCAGCCTTGAGTAAATCCACATACTTTCCTAATGGAGGTACAAATTCTTGTCTAGACTTGTTTTGAGCGATGAATTTAGTGACCTCATTTCTCTGTTTCCCCATGGGATCGGAAGTTTTGACTTCAGCTTCACAACTCTCTCTGCCATGACCAGTCTCTTTGTGTAATCCCATGGTTGCCATGTAGCTTCAAGACCACCAATAGTAGCACCTATGGTTCTCTTGCTTGTTTGATTAACATTAGCAAATGGCGAAAAATAGGTTGCACAATTGTACAGTTCCCCTGAGTGGGATGACATCCACTTCATGTCTGATGGGATTAATTCAAATTTGAACACAACTTGTTTTCCTCGTTCAATGGACAGTTGCTTTCCTTCTACTTCTTCCATTTCTTCTCTCAGGTGGTTTGTGTATGACTTCATGAGTGCATGGTCTTCTTTGCAGTTAGCCCCCAGAATTAAATGGTTATCGTTACAGCTTTGCACTCTTTGTAACAAGTTCAGGAAACTGACCAAGTATGCAGTGGCAGTATCGTCCTTACCAAATGATGCACCATCTGCCCCCACTGCCACATACAGCAACCCCACTTCTCCATTGAACCACTGTAGACAGGGGTCTTTTTCATGGAGTGTCAGGTACATGTCAGCGAGCCTCAAAAGGAAAGGTTTAAGTGGCCTGTACACGCCGGGAACTGATTCTGTAGAAAGCTTTTCTGCTAGAATCTCCAAAGGTAAAACCTCACCAAGGCCAATGTTCCTGATATAACTCATCAGAGTTTTGTACGGAAGGATCTTGGGAATTTCACAGCTTTGCATAAATTGTGATTTCTTATTTTTACCTGATTGATCTGGAGATTGTTTCATCACATCACCGCTGTTTCGTATGTTAGTGTACTTCCGCTTGCTTACCACCCCCCTTCGTACAACACACGCATGCTCCTAAGCTGGTTTTGTTCACTTTTTTCATATTCTTGAACTCTCCTTTTAACAATCTTCGGTATAATATCATTCATGCAAACTGCTGAATTGGTGATATAATTTTCCATCACTTGTTTTGAAGCTGTGCCTATCAATGTGGTCCATAATCCATCTTGCACAGATTGGTCATCAGAGACTGACATGTTGCTTCCACAATGTATTGGTCTTAGTGCTGCGACGGTCTTTTTTTTCCTTCGTAACAGCTGGAATCTTGATAGGTGCTCAAGCTTCTCACTGCAATCATTGTGCACTTTACTGCTTACATGTGGTTTCCGAGGCTTTTTGGCTTGGATTGGACATTCATTTTCATTTGCAATAGCTTCAAGTTCAGTGATCTGTTATTAATAATAAATAATTTATAAATGGATCATTAATTTTTAATAGTATCAAGAATCAGAAAATGAATTTGAAAAACTATTGATTCAGGAGATCTAGACTCAGTGACCTTAATTGTTTTCATGACCAAAGTTGAAATAGTGACTAATTATAAAGGGAGCTGATGAGAACACAATCATAACTGGGGTTCAATCCTATACATTTAAGCTTGAACATTTCCTATAATCCTACAATGGAGTTGGGAGAAGTAAAAAAATTTTCAATGCAATTTCTGTTTGGTGATTGTTTCCTTAATATTCTTCTCACAACTGCACATGAATTGATCTTATGAGAACAAATTTGATGTTGATCATGCAGTCTTGAGACTTAAAGGAATATAACAGCCAAGTTTGCTATAAAACAATCTCAAGCTTGAAAAAAAATTATTGTGTGTTAAGAACACTGATTTCTAGCAGAAGGTTCAGACCTTTTAGAAAATGATCCATGGCCAAGTTGAAGGGAGTCCATGGACCTGGAATCAATGTTTTATAATGACCCAGACTACAGATTGCATACAGATTGCGTGGAGACTACAAAGGCTATAGTAGCCTGGCTTACTGTAGTTTGCGAAACGAAATGAAACGAAACGAAATGAAAATCTGTAGTTTGCGAAATGAAAATCTGTAGTTTGCGAAATGACAATCTGTAGTTTGCGAAATGAAAATCTGTAGTTTGCGAAATGACAATCTGTAGTTTGCGAAATGAAAATCTGTAGTTTGCGAAATGACAATCCTCTGGAGAATGCCGACTTTAAATTCAGCGTGAACAACGAATTGAGAAGAGTCGTCAACAAGAAACCGCGGAGCAGAAGGAAAATCTCTTAGCACAGCGAAGGCAACGCCGACAACAAGAGACAGAGGAATAGGAGATTGGAATCAGAGGCATTATGATCGTTTTACACTCTCGAAAACCCAGATTTCTTAGTTTGCCGGTTTCCCCGCCGATATATAGATCAAAGTGTGCAAAGTTCCAGCTCTGTATTACGGCCCGAAGAATGATAATTTTCGGGCGAACTGCACGGGGCCATATTTGTTCTTTGGTTTTTTTCCTTTTTCTAAATCCGGACGCAGAAATAATGCTAAATCTGCTTTTTAATACACTGTTAACAATAATACCACATAATACGCCAAAAAGAAGAAGAAGAAAAGAAAGAACTTCGCGGTGGCCGTAATACAGAGCTGGAACTTTGCACACTTTGATCTATATATCGGCGGGGAAACCGGCAAACTAAGAAATCTGGGTTTTCGAGAGTGTAAAACGATCATAATGCCTCTGATTCCAATCTCCTATTCCTCTGTCTCTTGTTGTCGGCGTTGCCTTCGCTGTGCTAAGCGATGTTCCTTCTGTCTTCTCCTTCGTTGTTCACGCTGAATTTGAAGTCGGCATTCTCCAGAGGATTGTCATTTCGCAAACTACAGATTTTCATTTCGCAAACTACAGATTTTCATTTCGTTTCGCACACTACAGTAAGCCTATAGTACCTCCATTCATTAGTGAAGCTATTGTAGCCAACAGAACAACTGTGTTACACAGATAATCAACAGCCTGGAAGTCTGATGGCACCCCCCTCCCCCCTGATATATCTCACAGTGGCCACAACATACAAACAGAAAAGTTAATTGAACAAACCTTTCGTTTTCGCCTCCGTACAATTTCTTGTTTGTTGTGTAATTTCGTCCCCAATGCGTCAATTTTCACTCTTTCAGAAGCCAGTTGCCTTTTGAGCTGTAATATTTGTGCATCTGTGTCAAGTAATTTCTGAATTTCAGCATTTATCCTTTCCTTCTTCAGCTGTTGGTACTTTCCGATCGAAAATCTTGGTTTCTTGTTACTTCCCGTCAATGGTGGACTGAAAACCCCATGATTTATTTTTGCCAAGAGAAGACAAAAGCGACGAATAAATACATATTTAATGAACACAGAGATCGAACTAACATCGTATCATTTCAGATTTGTTATTTAAGTTCGTTACACTCCGAAAAAAGCCCCAAGAAAATGATTACCTGAAACCCTCGCCACAGTCACTTGGCTCTGCATTTTCGCCTCCTATCATATCACTTTTTCCTAATTCATCGAGCTAGGATACACTTAATCGCACACCGACAGAAAGCTAACGAATTCAACTCTCCCAAAGTGACCGCCAAAACTACATTGTTCGTACCAGTTTCCCAAAATATCGGCTAAAGCTCGGCCTATTCGGGAGATAAATCCAATATGGCGGCACCCAGAAGCCTTTGCAGACTTTTTCGGCGCCATTTTGAAAAAAACTACCTACGCGTTTCGCGCACATAGAAGGGGTGGTCTGGCCCCACCGTGAAAAGGATGATTTGGCCTTTTTTACCCTCCAAATGGGTTAAACTTTCAGTTTTGCTGATTTAATTTAATTTTTTTGATTGCTCCGAGTTGATCCGAGTCCAATTTTGTTTTATTTTTATTTTTTTATTCGATCCGAGTTGGTCCGAGTCGATCCGAGTTGATCCGACCCGGACTGGCGGTCCGAGTTGATCCGGTCCGACTTTTGTACCTGCCTAAAGTGAAAGGTATGCCGATGATTGAATGTTTAGTGGTTGTTTTTTTTCTTCTTATCAAGGTACTTAAAGACTTTTCGACTAACAATAAATTTGTATTTACTTTCATGTTGTTTTGTGTCCCCACCGATTGCTATCAGTGTATTAGAAAATTGTGAAAAAAATCTCAAGCAGTTTGACTGTTCTATTTTGCCTAGCATTGAGTGATGAAAAAAAGAAAACAAATAAAAGATAAGGGTAGTAAACTACGATCCTTCCCAAGATGTGAGGTTAGTTTGCCTAATGCCCAACGTCAGACATATTCTAACCAGTGGTTCTCCTTTTAAACAATTTGATTTGATATGGTAGAGAAATGGGAGGAACACGCAGCGTTACTCTCTGCCGTCTCTAAGACTAGGGAAGCAAAAACAGGGCAGAGCCGGAGAAATAGATACAATGACAAAGGTTATCTTTTACCCACAGAGATGATGTAGGTTGTGATAGAAAGGACAATGGGAGAGAGATTAACTTCACAAATATTAAGGTAAATATATTTGTAGTTACATGCTTAAACGATGTGTCACGAGTCACTTTGCAACCAACTGCTATGGTAAAGTAACTATAGCTGAATGAAGGTTCCAAAGTTTGGGATAAGTGACAAGTACATCACATTCTTTTTCCGCCTATCAAAGAAAAATTCACGAAAACAAGCAAATCGCTCATCACCAGCGAAGTGAAAACGATGAGATATGTCTGGAAACCTCTTCTTTGGAAAGAACCTAACTCAACACTATTTGTATTCGTCAGGATACTTTTTTTAGGTTTTGATAGTCAATTGATTACAGAAATTAAAAAATTAAATTTGTTTGCGTTGCTTTCGTTGTTCATGGAATACACTAGGTTGAAATAATATTCGCATTTACCTTACTCTATCTTCAGATGTCAGACGCCGAGCGATGGCTTCAAAATCATATGTCAGAAGGAAGCGAAGAAGACGACATTGTTAGTATTAGGAAGAGATGTGGAAAAGTTTCTCTTGTAAATCAGACATAAAGGTGGGAAGAGAATTATTTTTTGATTACCTTGGGTTGGCGCTATCTCGTTTGGAGTACAAGAATGTGGTTCCGATTATCAAAAAGTGACGGCGAGTGGGATACAAGGGGTTAATTTTGTTGAGTGCTCCTGTGAGCGATAAAAAGGCGCAATCATGCGATAAAAAAAATCCGTCGGTATCAGTTACACCTCTTGAAGTCAAAGCGCCTGAGAGTTTGAATGAAGAACTCTTAATTTATTCTTTACGGTCTCGCAACTTTGCTCTCATNACAAGGGGTTAATTTTGTTGAGTGCTCCTGTGAGCGATAAAAAGGCGCAATCATGCGATAAAAAAAATCCGTCGGTATCAGTTACACCTCTTGAAGTCAAAGCGCCTGAGAGTTTGAATGAAGAACTCTTAATTTATTCTTTACGGTCTCGCAACTTTGCTCTCATTTGGAGTGAAGTGAAGACGACTTATATTCTCCACAGACCAGTGAGGTCGTACAAATGACATTTTTATCCCGCGTTAATGTGCACCGAAATCATAACGAGCAATGAAAATGTCTCAAACACCACTAAGCTTTCCTTGAGATAGATTTTTTCGTATCACCTGCATAAAATGGCTCAATTTATCTTCCTGGCTGGCTTAATGTCGGATATTTTTTTTGCTGGCAAAAAAGGGAAGAAAGAGACATTCCTGGCTAGGGACATGCCTTTTTGGTAAAAATCCTGGCTGGGAAAAGCCCTTAACGTAAAGATCCTAGCTGGATATTGTACTTTAAAATCTATCTCTAGCTGGCTTTAGGGAGCGGATATAATTTTGCCAGAGAAGTTAATAATCAACCAAAAGACAATTAGTGACTGTTAAAATATTACTGGGAGCGATATCCAATCACTTTTGAAATTTTTCTCGTTGGGTACTCCTGTTTCTACGCAAAGTGTCACCCGAGCCATGCGAGCGAATGCAAATATCAACTGCTACTGTATAATTTGCATACATGTAGTTCGGGAATTTCTCGCAGGAATCAAACGCTGAGTAGACTAGAGTTTGTTATTTTTTGGAGTAGAAAGATTTTTTTTGACATGAGAGAAGTTAGAAGATGCTCAAAACTTGAACAAAGGTTGTAGATTCTCGCAGCAATAGAGTATCGAGAGTAGAGAGCAAATTACTCGAAACAAAACCCTTTTAATTGATTATAAACAAAGAGACCAATCCGGTTTGATAA